AGAAACATTAACTGCATGCAAACATCTGGTCTAACTGTTGCTTGTGCTTCACAGTAATGATTATACTGCAGCATGAGGGATCCAGAGAGCAGGGCCTTGGATATTAGGAGGGCCAAGCGTTAATTAACTGTATTAATTTCCTTTAAGCAAGGCAGCATTTCTATTTGCTCTTTGCCGATGAAGAAATGAGGCACAGAGAGATGATGCGATTGGTCACGGACATGCAATATGTTACTGGCATGTTTGGGGATGTAGGGATCCCAGGAAATCGCGGCACTGCTCTGTGCTGGCTGTCCTCCAGGGGAATCGCAGCCACGGCCAAAGTATCCAGCATAAAATCCTTTAAAGCCTGAAACCTGTTAGGCCAGGGCGGGGGCACTGCATGTCAGGATCTGCTCCGCAGCAGAGGAGTTAACTCATGGCTGCAGACGCCTCCTGCATCCCACGCACTGCTGGAAAAAAAAAAAGAAACCCATCCTGTCCCCTGCCTCCCGGGCAGGCTGGGGTTGGCAGCGGGGCTGGGGCAGGAGCCAGCGCTGGAACACAGCCCAGCAGTGGCGAGGGGTTGGGGGCCACTGTGCTTGACCATGGGGCAACTCATGGGGGCACGGAGGCATTAAACCCCAGGCTTGGCCCAGAGGGGTTTTGGGTACCCAGCCAAGACCTACGCTTTGCCCACGAGCTTCAACATCTCCGGACCCTGGGATAGGCCTCATCTTTGTTTTTTATTAGAAGGATGTATGGGTTTGGTTTTTTTTTTCCTTTTTAATTTTGCCTTCTCACGCAGCAGGAGGGTTATCGGCGTCCTGCACGCGGGATGGTGGGCGCCGCCTGTGCCGTGTCTCGCGGGTGGATTATCACCTCTCTCCGCTCCCGCTGCCATCCCCTCTGCCCCCAGATGCAGTGTCCTGCTGGGTTTGCTTCCAGCACAGCTTTTTCCACCATCGACTCCGGCTGAAGAAGCCACCAGAGAAACGGAAACGCAAAACGCCCCCGAATTATCCAGTAAAGGGCCGGAGTGGGTCGCAGCGCTTTTCTGGGGCGAGCTGCGCCCCTCGGAACGCTGTCACAACCCAAAGCCTCAAGGTTTTGCCCGGTTGCCCCGACCCACCGGTGGGCGAGAGTCCACAAACTTTGCTCGTGGGGGTGGGCCAGCGCCATCCTCCTCCTCCTCCGTCTGCTCCCGTAACCGGAACCCGTCACCCCCACGGGGGCAG